GTTCAATTCCATCATTGGTAGAGTTCAGAATGCTCTTTGATTGTAGGTAACTATAAATCCCAGTAACTACAACTCCCAAATCACAAAATCAGTCCCACCAGTATTCAAATTTGGGCGTATGGGGTATTTGTGCCAAATCTGGTCCAGTGAATGAAAATACATCCTACATATCAGATATTTACATAACGATTCATAACAGTAGCAAAATAACAGTTATGAAGTAGCAATGTAAATAATGTTCTGGTTGGGGGTCACCACAACATGAGGAACTGTATTAAGGGGTCACGGCATTAGGAAAGTTGAGAACCACTGCTTTACCCTCATATGTCTTCCCTCTTTTCTTTCTTTCCTTTTTTCTTTCCTCTTCCCTTCTTTTTCCATCTTTCCTTCGTCTCTTCTTTCTCGCCTTCCCTGTCATTAGACCTTTCCCCTTTCCTTTCTCTCCCTTCCTTCCTTCCCTCCTTTTTCTTTCTTCCCACCTATCATTTCTTTGCCATCATCATGGTCTATGAGCCAATATTCCGTTGCAGCCACATTCCGAAGCCTCGTCCCCATTCCCTTCTTCCTCCCAAACAAGATCCATTCCCTCTTTCCTCCCTTCCTTTCCTCTCATACATCTTCCCCCTTTTCTATTTCCATTTCCTTCCTCTTCCATTTTCCTCACCTTTCCTTCATCCCTTCTTTCTCTTTCTTTCTTTCCCTGTCCTCATATTTTCCCTCTTTCCTTTCTTCCTTTCCTTTTCCCTCATACATCTTCTCCCTTTTTTATTTCCTTTTGTTTCCTCTTCCCTTCTTTTCCTCACCTTTCTTTCACCCCTTCTTTCTTCCTTTCTCTTCCCTTCTTTCTCTCCTCCTCTGTCATACTTTCCCCCTTTCTTCCCTTTCTTTTCCCTCATACATCTTCCCCCTTTTCTTTCCTTCCTTTTTACTTTCCTCTTCCCTTCTTTTCCTCACCTTTCTTTCGTCCCTTCTTTCTTTCTTCCTTTCTCTTCCCTTCTTTCTCTCCTTCTCTGTCACACTTTCCCCATTCTTTTTTTCCCTTCCTTTACCCTCATTTGTTTTCCCCCTTTTCTCTTCACTTTTTCCCTCCCTCTTCCCTTCTTTTCCTATCTTTCTTTCGTCCCTTCTTTCTTCCTTTCTCTTCCCTTCTTTCTCTTCTTCTCTGTCATACTTTCCCCATTCCTTTTTTCCCTTCCTTTACCCTCATTCGTCTTCCTCCTTTTCTCTTTTCTTTTTTCCTCCCTCTTCCCTTCTTTTCCTCGCTTCTCCTTCATCCCTTCTTTTTCTTTCCTCCCCTGCCCTCATGCTTTCCCTCTTTCCTCCCTTCCTTTCTCCTCATGCATCTCCTTCATCCCTTCTTTCTTTCTTTCCTCATCCCTTCTTTTCCTCACCTTTCCTTCATCCCTTCTTTCCTTTTTTCTTTCCTCTTCCCTTCTTTTCCTCACCTTTCCTCCATCCCTTCATTCCTTTTTTCTTTCCTCTTCCCTTCTTTTCCTCACCTTTCCTCCATCCCTTCTTTCCTTTTTTCTTTCCTCTTCCCTTCTTTTCCTCACCTTTCCTTCATCCCTTCTTTCTCTTTCCTCTTCCCTTCTTTTCCTCACCTTTCCTTCATCCCTTCTTTTCTTTTTTCTTTCCTCTTCCCTTCTTTTCCTCACCTTTCCTTCATCCCTTTCTCTTTCCTTTTTTCTTTCCTCTTCCCTTCTTTTCCTCACCTTTCCTTCATCCCTTCTTTCCTTTTTTCTTTCCTCTTCCCTTCTTTTCCTCACTTTTGCTTCATGTTTCTCTTTCCTTTTTGCTTTCCTCTTCCCTTATTTTCCTCACCTTTCCTTCATCCCTTCTTTCTCTTTCCTTTTTGCTTTCCTCTTCCCCCTTTTCTTTCTTTCCTTTTTTCTTTCCTCTTCCCTTCTTTTCCTCACCTTTCCTATCCCTTCTTTTTTTCTTTCCTCTTCCCTTCTTTTCCTCACCTTTCCTTCATCCCTTCTTTCCTTTTTTCTTTCCTCTTCCCTTCTTTTCCTCACCTTTCCTTCATCCCTTCTTTCCTTTTTTCTTTCCTCTTCCCTTCTTTTCCTCACCTTTGCTTCATGTTTCTCTTTCCTTTTTGCTTTCCTCTTCCCTTCTTTTCCTCACCTTTCCTTCATCCCTTCTTTCTCTTTCCTTTTTGCTTTCCTCTTCCCTTCTTTCTCTTTCCTTTTTCCTTTCCTCTTCCCTTCTTTTCCTCACCTTTCCTTCGTCTCTTCTTTCTCTCTCTCTCTCTCCTTTCCTTTCTCTCCCTTCCTTCCTTCCTTCCCTCCTTTTTCTTTCTCCCCACTTAGCATTTCCTTGCCATCATCACGGTCTATGAGCCAATATTCCGTTGCAGCCACCTTCCGAAGCCTCTTCTTCCCCATTCCCTTCTTCCTCCCAAACAAGATCCAGAGTGGCTGTGATACGCACTGCCACGAACGTCCTCCAAAAAGCAGAAAGATCAATGATGGTTTAAATTGAGTATCAGAGCCGTGGGAAAGCGGCCAAGTCCGTGACAAAGCGAGAGCAATGCCAGCATCGCTTCCATAACGGAACGGGCTATTTTAAAAATGGAGCCATATGGACATTGGTACGCTCTTCCTTCCCATCCTAATTCTACCACTCAAAAAAATACACTTATCATAATCATAATAATCACAACAACAACAATAATTTCTTTATTGTGTTGTCACAGCAGGAATCAGTGGGTTGTTGTGAGTTTTCCGGGTTGTAGCATTCTCTCCTGACATTTTGCCTGCATCTATGGCATAGTTAATGCACATTTGTCTTCCTGACACTGCAGTGCATTAATAGAGTAAGTCTTTTTCCAATTTAAAAAAGAGTATCCTGTGGGATCCAATCCAAACATCTGAGTCAGCTGCATTAAAAATCACTACAGACCGAAAGGTCATGAGTTCGAAGCCAGCCCGGGTCGGAGTAAGCTCCCGACCATTTGTCTAGCTTGCTGTCGACCTTTGCAGCCCGAAAGACAATTACATCTGTCGAGTGCGAAGATACAGAATGGGGGAGAGTAGTACGTGTGGAAAAGATCTTGGGGTCCTCCTGGACAACGTTAAACATGAGCCAACAATGTGATGCGGCAGCAAAAAAAGCCAATGGGATTTTGGCCTGCATCAAGAGGAGCATAGTGTCTAGATTCAGGGAAGTCATGCTACATTGGTTAGACCACACCTGGGATATTGTGTCCAATTCTGGGCACCACAATTGAAGAGATTTATTGACAAGCTGGAATGTGTCCAGAGGGGGGTGACTAAAATGATAAAGGGTCTGGAGAGCAAGCCCTATGAGGAGCGTCTTAAAGACCTGGGCATGTTTAGCCTAAAGAAAACAAGGCGGAGAAGCTGGAAAGTTAAATAGCCTCTGAGTGTCTGTCTGTATATGTTGTGTCTCTGTGGCATTGGATGTTTGTCATGTATATGTGTATTGTGATGTGCCCTGAGTCCCCTGTGGGGTGAGAAGGGCGGAATATAAATAAAAATAAATAAATATTACTGGAGATAGGCTCAGTGTTTGCAATAGCACTGTTGCGATACTATTTTGAATGTGATGCAATATCTAGTGAGACCTTGCTGATTCTGAGATGTGTTGGATAGAATCCAAACCACCCATGGTCAGAAGCTGCAGTCAGTAACATCTGGCACATTGTGAAACGGAGAATATTATGGTAAACTAAAAGAGCTGTGAATCGTCATGTAAATATCTGATATACAGGATGTATTTTCCTTCACTGGATTAAATTTTGTACAAATACAAAGTGATGGGCTCTCAAGTCTGGGAAATGATGGTTCTCTCTGCGAGAAAACCGGCTCAGATAGTGCATGGCCTCAAGGGCATTTGGGGGAGTCAGAAGTAGCAAGAGCAGATAAGGCATTGAGTGAAGATCTGAGTGATAAGGAGGGTTTTCATTCACTGGATTAAATTTTGTACAAATACAAAGTGATGGGCTCTCAAGTCTGGGAAATGATGGTTCTCTCTGCGAGAAAACCGGCTCAAATAGTGCAGTGCCTCAAGTGTATTCGGGGGAGTCAGAAGTAGCAAGAGCAGATAAGGAATCGAGTGAAGATCTGAGTGATGAGGGTTACCTACAGATGTCCGGGTCCTCAAACACTCTGTGCTTCGTTTGGGAAAATGCTGCACACACAAAGCTCAGGCGCTGTTGTATTTCAGTGTCAATGCTGACTTTTGTGGAGAGGTGGCTGCCACAGCAAAATTGGGAGGACAGTGGCTTTATAAACAAGAACCTTGGTATCCCGATGGAAGTTCCGGTCCTCAAACACTCTCTGCTTCATTTAGAAGAATGTTGCACTCGCAGAGCTCAGGTGTTGTTGTATTTCAGTGTCAGTGTTGACTTTTGTAGAAAGGTGACTGCCACAGCAGGATTGGGAGGACAATGGCTTTATAAACAAGCCCCTTGGTCTCCCTACGTCTGTCCCGGTCCTCAAACACTCTGTGCTTCATTTGGAAAAATGCTGCACTCGCAGAGCTCAGGCGGTGTTGTATTTCAGTGTTGACTTTGGTGGAGAGGTGGCTGCTAAGGGAGTAGAAATGGTCAACATTTTCTAATGTTACACCATTAAGCTGTATTTCTGGCATTGGAGAGGGATTGACTGGTGCCTTTTTCTGGAAGAACACTTTGGTTTTCCCGATGTTCAATGATAGGCCAAACTTCTTGTATGCTTCTGCGAAGGTGTTTAGAGTGGCTGGTCGGTCTCCCAATGGTGAGAACCACTCCTCCCAACCCAGGCACCATTGAGATCCCGTCTATACGTCATGCGACGTGGGAACTTTTAGGAAGCAGCCCGCTGCCCTTGTGCTATTTTCAGCAGCAGATTCCGTTTTGGTTTTCTTTGCCCGGTTCTTTGGAGCCTTGGGAGAGCGGGCCCGGCCCCCCTGGCCCTTCTTTTCCCCAATATGTCCTCTCCTGACTCCCTCCGCCTGGGCCTCGTCTGCTAATCCCTTTAATTGAGACCGACAGACAGAATCCCCGCAAGGTTGGGATATTAATTGTCCTCTCGGTGGAGAGGGCCTCCCTCCCCCTGGACTTGCATAATCTGTTTTCCTGGCACATCGGACATGGGAAATATCCGGGAAAGAGAGAGGGCGGCTGGACTTTCCACCGCCAGCTGTTGAGTTGGTATGTGGAGGCTTTTTCTCCCTTTCTTTGTTGTGAATGTGTGTGCAAAATGTCGTGTGCATGTGTAGCCATTAATTTGAACTGTTCATCTTTGGTTTTGCTTTGACAATTGAGGCTTGTCCACATACCTTAGTCGTTCTTGGACTGCTTCTGTTAAGCACATAAAAGCTTTAAATCCGTGGTTCCCAAACTTTTTTGGTCATGGAACACTTCAGAACCCTCACTCTGTCTCTGGTTTCCCCACAAAGCCTTTACTCTGTCTCTAATTTCCCTACAGAACCCTAACTCTGTCCTCTTTTTCATCACGAAACTCTCAATCTGCTCCCGATTTCCCTGTGGAACACTTACTCTTTCCCCAATTTTCCCCAGAAACCTTACTCTGTCTCCAGTTTCCCCACGAAGCCTTTACTCTGTCTCTAATTTCCCTACGGAACCCTTACTCTGTCCTCTTTTTCAGCACTAAACTCTCACTCTGTTCTTGATTTCCCCGTGGAACCCTTATTCTTTCCCCAATTTTCCCCAGAATCCTTACTATGTCTCTGGATTCCCCGCGGAACCTTTACCCTGTCCCCAATTTCAGTGTGGAACTCTCACTCCGTTCCCGATTTTCCTTACTCTTTCCCCAATTTTCCCCAGAATCCTTACTCTGTGTCTGAATTACCCATGGAACTCTTACCCTGTCCCCAATTTCAGTGAGGAACTCTTACTCTGTCCCCAATTTCAGTGAGGAACTCTTACTCTGTCCCCGATTTCAGTGAGGAACTCTTACTCTGTCCCCAATTTCAGTGAGGAACTCTTACCCTGTCCCCGATTTCAGTGAGGAACTCTTACTCTGTCCCCGATTTCAGTGAGGAACACTTACTCTGTCCCCAATTTCAGTGAGGAACTCTTACCCTGTCCCCAATTTCAGTGAGGAACTCTTACTCTGTCCCCAATTTCAGTGAGGAACTCTTACCCTGTCCCCGATTTCAGTGAGGAACTCTTACTCTGTCCCCGATTTCAGTGAGGAACTCTTACTCTGTCCCCAATTCCAGTGAGGAACTCTTGCTCTGTCCTCAATTTCCCTGCAGAGTCCTCTGTCCTCAGATTCCTCGCAGAACCCTTACCCTGCTCCCGATTTTAGCACTAAACTTGTTGGGCGAGTAGGCTTACTAACAAAAGACCCTCCCCATGAATGTATAGCAGAGTAACGTAATAGCAGCAGTAGCCCAAAGTGATATAAAAACGAAAACACACAGACCAATGTTACCTCTTCCATAGGAGGCTTTTCTTTGTAGTAAAATAATATGGTTGCACTATTTACAAGAACAAGGTTTCCATAACACAAGTAAAGTTCTTTATACTTCCTCTGCTGCTTCCACGCTGGGCTTCTTTCTTATGCAGATAAACAGCTTCGCTCTCACAGAGCTTCCTCTCACAACGTACTCACACAGGAGCTTCACACAGGAGCTGTACACACAAGGCCTTTAACCTGGAGCTTCTCTCATTGAAGCTTCTTTCACCAGGCCTTCTCACATTTGGCCTTCTCATAACTCACACCGTGAGGCCTTCTCTCACAAAGGCCTCCCTCACACTGAGAGGCCTTCTCACAGACAGACCTTTCTCCCACTGAGGTTTACAAGGGAGGAAGGAAGGAAAGCGTATGAATGACAACAAGGGAGGGAGGGAGGGAGGGAAGAAGGAAGGGAGGAAATGAAAAAGAAAAGAAAGGAAAAGGGAGGAGGGGAAAAGGAAGGAGGGAGGACGAAAGAAAAAGGAGGGAAGGAAGAGAAAGGAGAGGAGAAGGAAGGGAAAAGGAAAAAGGGAAGGGAGGGAGAAGGAAGGGAGGGAGGGAAGGATGGGAAGGAAAGGAAGGAAGGAAGGATGAAGGAAGGAAGGAAAGGAAGAAAGGAAGGAAGGAAGGGAAGGAAGGGGAAAGGGGAAGAAAGAAGGGAGAGGGAAGGAAGGAAGAGAAAAGAAAGGAAAGGGAGGAGGGAAAGGAAGAAGGGAAGGGAAAAAAAAGGAGAGGAAGAGAAGGAAGGGGGAAAGGGAGGAGAAGAGGAAATAAAGGAGAAGGAAGGGAAAGGAGGAGGAAGGAAGGGGGGAAGGAAAAAGGAGAAGGAAGGAAGGAAAAGGAAGGAAGGAAGAAGGAAGGAAGGAAGGAAAGGAAGAAGAAGGAAGGGAGGGAGAAAGGAAGGAAGGAAGGAAGGAAGGAAGAAGGAAGAAGGAAGGAAGGAGGAGAAAAGAAGGAAGGGAGGAGGGAAAAGAAAGAAGGGAGGGGAGAAGAAAGAAGGAAGGAAGAAAGAGAAAAGGAAGGGAAAAGAGGAAGAAGAAAGGAAAGAAGGGAAAGAGAGGAAAAAGGAGGAAGGAGGGAAGGAAGGAAGGAAGGAAGGGGAAGTTGTATGAGGGAAAACAAGGGAAGAAGGAAGGAAAGGAAGGAAAGAAGCGGAATATGAATGAGGGACAACAAGGGAGGAAGGAGAAAAGAAAGAAAAAAGGAGGAGGGAAAAAGAAGGGAGGGAGGAAGAAAGAAAAAGGAGGGACGGAAGATCAAGGGAAGGGGAAAATTTATGAGGAGAAGAAAGGGAAGAAATAGAAACAAGGGATGAAAAAAAAGATGAAGGAAGGAAGGAAGGGAAGGACGGAAGGAAGGGAAGGACGGAAGGAGAAGTTGTATGAGGGAAAACAAGGGAAGAAGGAGAAAAGGAAGGAGGGAAAAAGAAAAGAAGGGAAGGAGAAAGAAAGAAAAAGGGAAGGGGAAAATTGCGTGAGAAGAAGAAGGGAAGAAATAGAAACAAGGGATGAAAAAATGGAGGGAGGAGGGAGGGAGGGAGGAAGGAGAGGAAGGAAGGAAGAAGGAAGGAAGAAGAAGGAAAGGAGGAAGGAAGGAAGAGGGGAATGCAAATGAGGGACAAAAAGGGAAGAAGGAAGGAAAGAAGGTGTGTGAGGGAAACGGAGGAAGGAAAGAAAAAGCCACAAAAACAGTCTATCCAAATCGAGTTGTCAGAGCACTGTCATTGTGAGGTAGGCCTCCTCAGAGCTGGAGAAGGGAGAAAGCAGGCAGGCAGCGTCCTTTTCGACACCTGGGCTGGGGTTAATAATAATAATAATAATAATAATAATAATAATAATAATAATAATAATAATAATAATAATAATCCTAGACGCTTGGGAAGTGTTCGACTTGTGATTTTGTGGTACGAAATCCAGCATAGAAATCTCTTTTGCTGTCAATAATAGTAATAATAATAATAATAATAATAATAAAGGCACGCTGGCAAGAAAAGCAATGCAACTCCTATGCGTGTGCCTTCCTAAGTGCTGTTGCACCCAGTGGGATTTAGTCTCTCACCAACCTGTGGCCTTAACCGTGGAAATATTGCATTGCCATGCTTGAATGGCAGATTGGTTTTGGGATTGAAAACCAGAGGGGCGAAACTGGAAATGTAGTCAAGCACGGACTATAAATGTGATCGTGATACTTTTTTTGGAAATAGTACCCTGACCTTGCCGGTGCTATTTTTATCAAAAACCAAGGTATTTCTGCACCATTCCCTGCTTTTAATTTATGACCCTCCAGCTTATGTTTGAAAAAGCCTCCTTTTCTTGTCCTCCATTCATCACACTTATTAAGGACTGCTGACCGAGGTCTTTGAAATGCCCCCTTGTGTCTTCTTTCTTGAATGGCCTTGCAGTTTCAAAGCTTAGCTGCTTCCTGAATGGGGGGATCCTTTGTTGGGAGGTGCCTAGCTGGCCCTGATTGTTTCATGTCTGGAATTCCCCTGTTTTCAGAGTGTTGCTCATTGTTTACTGTCCTGATTGTAGAGTTTTGTTTTTTTAGATGTCTTCACTGTGTCTGGTTGTGATCCCCAGGTTGTGCCAGTCAGCTTTCGTATGATATTGTTTCTAGCGCCCACTTTTTGCTTGATATTCAGGCAGTGCTTCTTGTAGGTCAGATGTGACTCTCAGGTATTTGGGTGCGCTGCAATGCTCCAATGGGATTCCTTCCCAGGTGATCCTCAGAGCTTGGGATGCGTGTCTGTTCTTAAGGTGAAAGGCGCATGTCTGTATTTTAGATGGATTACGGATCAGCTGGTTTTCCCTGTAATAGGCGGTAAGGGCACCTAGTGCTTTGGAGAGCTTCTGTTCAACCATCTCAAAGCTCCCTGCTTGAGCGTTGATGACACAATCATCAGCATAGATGAAAGTCTCTGTCCCTTCTGGCAGTGGCTGGTCATTTGTGTAGATGTTGAACATGGATGGAGCAAGCACGCTCCCCTGAGGCAGGCCGTTCTTCTGCTTCCACCATCTGCTTCTCTGGCCCGGGAACTCAACAAAAAAGCTCCTGTTTTGTAGCAGGCTGACAATGCAAGATGGGGAAAGCAAAATCGCTCCTGAATTTATTAGCTGGGGAAAGACTGTCGCTCTATAGAATTGGCTAGGGAGACGGCAATGAAATCGGACATGATACCGCACTCTTTGCCTGGCAGCCGTTTGCTGCCTTGTCACTCTTGCCGCCCCAATCCCATCCCATTCTAGTCTTTCCGGGTTATTAACAAGCAACAGGATTCTGCTCCCAAAGGACTTGAGAGGGCCGCAAGGCATATCTGGTCCAACTACAAGGTTGCAGAAGGGAAACCAGTCTCGACAGCAGATACAATTTCTAATTTCGGTGCCCATTCCATTTAGAAAAATCTGAAAACACTCTGTAAGGGCACCTAGAGCTTCAGAGAGCTTCTGTCCAACCATTTCAAAGCTCCCTGCTTGGGTGGTGATGACACAATCATCAGCATAGATGAAACTCTCTGTTTCTTCTGGCAGTGGCTGGTCATTTGTGTAGATGTTAAACATTGACGGTGCAACCTAGTTTTCTCTGTAATAGGCAGTAAGAGCACCTAAAGCTTCGGAGAGCTTCTGTCCAACCATTTCAAAGCTCCCTGCTTGGGTGGTGATGACACAATCATCAGCATAGATGAAACTCTCTGTTCCTTCTGGCAGTGGCTGGTCATTTGTGTAGATGTTAAACATTGACGGTGCAACCTAGTTTTCTCTGTAATAGGCAGTAAGAGCACCTAAAGCTTCGGAGAGCTTCTGTTCAACCATTTCGAAGCTCCCTGCTTGAGCAGTGATGGCACGATCATCAGCATAGATGAAGCTCTCTGTCCCTTCTGGCAGTGGCTGGTCATTTGTGTCGATGTTGAACATGGATGGGGCGAGCACGCTCCCCTGAGGCAGGCCGCTCTTCTGTTTCCGCCATCTGCTTCTCTGGCCCTGGAACTCTCAAAAAAGCTCCTGTTTTGTAGCAGGTTTCCTATGAGGTGGGTGAGGTGGTCGTCCTTGGTGATATTATACATTATACATTATATTATTGTGATAATATACAATAAAAGCAGTAGAGCAAATACAGCGTAACGGCCCTGACTCATCTTAAACTCAACCCCGTTCTTTGTCTTTCCTGGTAGGTTTCCTCAATGCCTCTGTGCCGAGAGCCCACCGGCCAGCGGTCAAGCTGAGGCATCTTTTCCCGGGCAATGGACTGGGACCTCTACGCCAGCATGCAAGTCGGGATGCGGGTTGTCCGTGGGCTGGATTGGAAGTGGAGCAACCAGGACAACGGCGAAGGGAACGTCGGGACAGTCGTGGAGATCGGCCGGCAAGGCAGCCCGACGACACCGGACAAGACGGTGGTGGTCCAGTGGGATCACGGCACCCGCACGAATTACCGGACGGGCTTCCAAGGAGCGTACGATCTCCTTCTGTACGATAATGCGCAAATAGGTACGTCTGGCTTTGTCTTAGAGGCATATACTGTTGGGCAATCCTGTCCAATGCTCCCATGGGTGGGAAGGTACATTTCAATGGAAAAGAAATCAGGATCCAGAGCACAGCTTTCCAAACATTTCATGTTTTTGACACACTTTTCAGACATGTATGATTTTGCGACACAGGAATCGGGACCCATGGGGGGTCGCAAGGGGGTGTCAAAGGGATCACCAAAGACCATAAGAAAACACAGTATTTTGTATTGCTCATAGGAATTCTGTGTGCCAAGATTGGTTCAATTCTATTGTTGATGGAGTTCAGAATGCTCTTTGATTGTAGGTGAACTATAAATCCCAGCAACTACAGTGTCAAGGTCTATTTTCCCCAAACTCCACCAGTGTTAACATTTGGGCATATTGAGTATCTGTGCCAAATTTGGGCATACTGAGTATTTGTGCCAAGTTTGGTCCAGATCCATCTTTGTTTGAGTCCACAGCGCTCTCTTGATGTCGGTGAACTAGAACTCCAAAACTCAAGATCAATGCCCATCAAACCCTTCCAGTATTTTCTGTTGCTCATAGGATTTCTGTGTGCCAAGTTTGGCTCAATTCCATTGATGGTGGAGTTCAGAATGCTCTTTGGTGGCAGGTGAACTATAAATCCCAGTAATTACAACTCCCAAACATCAAGGTCTATTTTCCCCAAACTCCACCAGTGTTCACATTTGGGCATATTGAGTATCTGTGCCAAGTTTGGTCCATATCAATCATTGTTTGACTCCACATTGCTCTCTTGATGTCGGTGAACTAGAACTCCCAAACTCAAGGTCAATGCCTACCAAACCCTTCCAGTATTTTCTTTAGGGAGTTCTGTGTGCCAATTTGCTTCAATTTCATTGTTGGTGGAGTTTAGAATGCTCTTTGATTGTAGGTGAACTATAAATCCCAGCAACTACAACTCCCAACCCCACCAATATTCAAGTATTTGTGCCAAATTGGGTCCGGTGAATGAAAATACATCCTATATATCGGATATTTACATGACGATTCATAACAGGAGCAAACAATTATGAAGTAACAACAAAAATAATGTTGTAGTTGGGGGTCAACGCAACACGAGGAACTGTATTAAGGGGTCGCGGCGTTAGGAAGGTGGAGAACTCCTGTCCTGGTGCACTTGGCTTGCTCTTGTTGACGTGAATCGCTCTATATTTCCCCCTCTCTCGCTTAGGCGTCCGCCACCCCAACATCATTTGCGACTGCTGCAAGAAGCACGGGATCCGTGGGATGCGCTGGAAGTGCAAGATCTGCTTTGACTACGACCTGTGCATGCAGTGCTACATGAACAATAAGCACGACCTCTCTCATGCCTTCGAACGCTACGAGACGGCCCACTCGCGCCCGTAAGTCCTGCAAACTTTGCAAACCAAATCGTTTGGCAATGTGGCATCCGGCCCGGAGGGATGGGCTCTTATTCTTCTTTCAGAACAAGGACCCTTGTAGACAGCGACACCATACTATTGGCTGTGCAGGATGCGACACAGTCATTCAGTTTCTTGAGATGTGCATCATTTCGCGACACAGTCATTCAGTTTCTTTAGATGTGCATCATTTCACGACACCGTTATTCAGTTTCTTTAGACATGCATCATTTAGCGACACAGTCATTCAGTTTCTTGAGATGTGCATCATTTAGCAACACAGTCATTCAGTTTCTTTAAACGTACATCATTTCCCAACACAGCCATGCAGTTTCTTTAGACGTGCATCATTTCGCGACACAGTCATTCAGTTTCTTTAGATGTGCATCATTTCACGACACCGTTATTCAGTTTCTTTAGACGTGCATCATTTCGCGACACAGTCATTCAGTTTCTTTAAACGTACATCACTTCGCGACGCAGTCATTCAGTTTCTTTAAACATACATCATTTCGCGACACAGTCATTCAGTTTCTTTAGACGTGCATCATTTCGCGACACAGTCAATCAGTTTATTGAGATGTGCATCATTTCGCGACACAGTCATTCAGTTTCTTGAGATGTGCATCATTTCGCGACACAGTCATTCAGTTTCTTTAGACGTGCATCATTTCGCGACACAGTCAATCAGTTTCTTGAGATGTGCATCATTTAGCGACACAGTCATTCAGTTTCTTGAGATGTGCATCATTTCGCGACACAGTCATTCAGTTTCTTTAAACGTACATCACTTCGCGACGCAGTCATTCAGTTTCTTTAAACATACATCATTTCGCGACACAGTCATTCAGTTTCTTTAGACGTGCATCATTTCGCGACACAGTCAATCAGTTTCTTGAGATGTGCATCATTTAGCGACACAGTCATTCAGTTTCTTGAGATGTGCATCATTTCGCGACACAGTCATTCAGTTTCTTGAGATGTGCATCATTTCGCGACACAGTCAATCAGTTTCTTGAGATGTGCATCATTTAGCGACACAGTCAATCAGTTTCTTGAGATGTGCATCATTTCGCGACACAGTCATTCAGTTTCTTTAAACGTACATCACTTCGCGACGCAGTCATTCAGTTTCTTTAAACATACATCATTTCGCGACACAGTCATTCAGTTTCTTTAGACGTGCATCATTTAGCGACACAGTCATTCAGTTTCTTGAGATGTGCATCATTTCGCGACACAGTCATTCAGTTTCTTGAGATGTGCATCATTTCGCGACACAGTCAATCAGTTTCTTGAGATGTGCATCATTTAGCGACACAGTCAATCAGTTTCTTGAGATGTGCATCATTTCGCGACACAGTCATTCAGTTTCTTTAAACGTACATCACTTCGCGACGCAGTCATTCAGTTTCTTTAAACATACATCATTTCGCGACACAGTCATTCAGTTTCTTTAGACGTGCATCATTTCGCGACACAGTCAATCAGTTTATTGAGATGTGCATCATTTAGCGACACAGTCATTCAGTTTCTTGAGATGTGCATCATTTCGCGACACAGTCATTCAGTTTCTTTAGACGTGCATCATTTCGCGACACAGTCAATCAGTTTCTTGAGATGTGCATCATTTAGCGACACAGTCATTCAGTTTCTTGAGATGTGCATCATTTAGCGACACAGTCATTCAGTTTCTTGAGATGTGCATCATTTAGCGACACAGTCAATCAGTTTCTTGAGATGTGCATCATTTAGCGACACAGTCATTCAGTTTCTTGAGATGTGCATCATTTCGCGACACAGTCATTCAGTTTCTTTAAACGTACATCACTTCGCGACGCAGTCATTCAGTTTCTTTAAACATACATCATTTCGCGACACAGTCATTCAGTTTCTTTAGACGTGCATCATTTAGCGACACAGTCATTCAGTTTCTTGAGATGTGCATCATTTCGCGACACAGTCATTCAGTTTCTTTAGATGTGCATCATTTCGCGACACAGTCATTCACTTTCTTGAGATGTGCATCATTTCGCGACACAGTCATTCAGTTTCTTTAGACGTGCATCCATTTTCCTATTTCCAACAGACCTCACTACCTCGGAGGATGCTTGCCATAGATGCAGGCGAAACGTCAGGAGAAATGCCTCTAGAACATGGCCCTATAGCCCGAAAAAACTACAAGAACCTAGTGATTCCAGCCATGAAAGCCTTCGACAATAAATCTATAACAGATTTTGTAACCTCTGTTTTGGCTTTCAGTCTACTGAGGTTACATAGCTTGCCATGATTTCCACTCCAGTGGGAAGCTTACCATCAACAAGATGAAGTATCATAGCGAGGAAGGTGGGGTAATAACACATCCCTTTTTGACACCTGATTCCACCTTAAGTGGGTCACTTTGGGAGCCACTGCTGTCCACGACTGTTGCCATCATATCATCATGGAGGAGCCGCAGGATGTTCACAAATTTGTAGGTCTGAGTCCTGCTACATGCACAATGTAGGACCTTCTTACAGCGACACCAAAGGCACCCCAAGTGGCCAGCTTCTGGTCAAAGGGCATTTAGTATAATGCCAATTTTTAACATTCAGTTTCTTGAGATGTGCATCATTTCACGACACAGTCATTCAGTTTCTTTAGATGTGCATCATTTCGCAACACAGTCAATCAGTTTCTTTAGACGTGCATCAATTCATGACACAGTCATTCAGTTTATTTGGGTGTGCATCATTTCGTGACACAGTCATTCAGTTTCTTTCGACGTGCATCATTTAATGACACCATCATTCAGTTTATTTCGACATGCAGCATTTCACAACACAGTCAGTTTCTTTAGACGTGCATCATATTGCAACACAGTCATTCAGTTTATTTGGACATGCATCATTTCGCAACACAGTAATTCAGTTTCTTTCGACGCGCATCATTTCATGACAGTCATTCAGTTTCTTTCGACATGCAGCATTTCATGACACAGTCATTCAGTTTCTTTTGACGTGCAACATTTTGTGACACAGTCATTCAGTTTATTTGGACGTGCATCATTTCACTACACAGTCATTCAGTTTATTTGGACATGCATCATTTTGCGACACAGTCATTCAGTTTCTTTTGACGTCCATCATTTCACGACACAGTCATTCAGTTTCTTTAAACGTACATCATTTCGCGACACAGTCATTCAGTTTCTTTCGACGTGCATTATTTCGTGACACAGTCATTAATACATTTTAACTGTACTCTCAATTCACTCAATAACACAATAAATAAATAAACATCCTTCTCAGGCCTGGTTTAGTGTTTACACTTGAGCTCGATCTGTCATTCATTCTCAGGCATCCTTGGCATCTCAGGATATTGCCATCTGCTGCCTCCGTCGTGATGAGGATTGTTGCCCAGGGAGGAAAATGAGGCTGAATTGGTGTGTGATCATATGTTGGCACTTGCCTCAGTGTTCAATTCCCCTTTTTCTGTTCCCAATGAATAGGACCCCCCCCCCAAAAAAAAACCCAACCAACAAACAAAGCTTCTTTAGATCTAGAACAAATAACAAAGCAGGTTCTTGAACATATAGGAGATCTTTGGCGAGTTTGTATGGGAGACTGTAACTAGGTTACCCACCTTTCAAACTCTTTCCATTTTGCAAATTGCAAAGGGCTTGACCCTGCGATGCCACAGCATGAGGCTCTCTGTACAGAAAGGAAACTTCACGATGACTAATGGCTGCTTTGAAAGATTTCTGCGTGGGGAAGAAACAGCTCTGCCTTTCTCCAGGGGCGGAAAGGGTTTTGCAGCGCGTTATTGCATCTCCTTCGACAGCCATTGCTTTGTATTTTGTAATTTTACCCTTGTTTTACTCCCCATGCTGTTGGGAACACTGTTTGTGTGTGTTGGTGCTATGAGCTTATCGTAGGAAGCAGGACAATAAATATGGTAAGGTTTAAAAAAGGTATCCATCTCAGATAAGAGAGTAGATAGAGCAAAGAAAGTTGCCTCGCTTTGGGACAGGAGTCCCCGATGCAGAGCTTTTCAGACATTTCAAACCGGTGACACACTCTTTAGACGTGCATCATTTCGCGACACAGTCAGTCAGTTTCTTTAGGCATGCATCATTTTGCGACACAGTCATTCAGTTTCTTTGGATGTGCATCATTTCACGACACAGTCATTGAGTTTCTTTAGACGTGCATCATTTCGCGACACAGTCAGTCAGTTTCTTTGGGTGTGCATCATTTCATGACACAGTCATTGAGTTTCTTTAGACGTGCATCATTTCACGACAGTAATTCCTTTTCTTTTTATGTGCAACACAGTAATTCATTTCATGACACAGTAATTCAGTTTCCTTAGACGTGTATCATTTCGTGACACAGTCATTCAGTTTCTTTACACATGCATCACTTCATGACACAGACACTTCGTTTCTTTAGAAGTGCATCATTTCGTGACACAGTCATTCAGTTTCCTTAGACATGCAGAATTTTGTGGCAGTCATTCAATTTCTATAGACGTGCATCATTTTGTGACAGTCATTCAGTTTCTTTAGACGTGCATCATTTTGCAACACAGTCATTCAGTTTTTTACACATGCATCATTTTGCAACACAGTCAATCACGTTTTTAGACGGGCATCATTTTGCGACAGCGATTCAGTTTTTTTGTGACGCAGTAATTCAGTATCTTTAGACGTGCACCATTTCGCGATGCCATCATTCATTTTCTTTAGATGTGTATCATTTGTGACACAGTCATTCAGTTTCTTTACACATTCATCATTTCACAACACATTCATTCGTTCCTTTAGATGTGCATCATTTTGCAACACAGTCATTCAGTTTCTTTAGACGTGCATCATTTTTCGACAGTCATTCAGTTTCCTTAGACATGCATAATTTCATGACACAGTCATTCAATTTTGTTAGATGTGCATCATTTTGTGACACAGTCATTTAGTTTACTTAGACGTGCTTCATTTCATA